ACAACTCAAAATTTTTAAAAAATTGTCAAAGGGCTGTTTTCCTAGTCCATGACCCATATATAGTGAGCCGGGCATAAAATTGCCGGTCCGGCAAAAAATTTTAAATTTAGAGCGGACCGGCTACTAGGCTACTAAAATAGACATATTCTAGAACAGACTTTACAGTTCTGAACCTAAGAACTCACCAAAGGCTGAGAATTTTACTATCGATCGATCGCTATCGTTATATAAACTTAAAATTTATAAACAATTGGACTTTATTTACATCATAATAATAATAGTAGTAAAGATATTTTTTTTTTTTTTAGTTACGTACGTATTTTAATAACCATGTGAATATTTTAAAGAAATTTTATATGACCAATACTATTAAATATTTGTTATTACTATTATATATATATAGTAATATAGTAATAAAAATCGAAAAAAATACCCATTTACGGTGATGAATGACCATATTCTATTTCTATATAAAATAAATAGAACAAGGAACAAATTGTTTTAAAGTATTCTTGCATGGCCTAATGAAGGTTTAAATTCTTTGTTAATAAGAGAAAAACTAAAATCGTACAAAAAAATAAATTAGTATAAAAAAACGGCCGAAACATATAAATAGACATAAATAAGAAACAAGACAATTATCGTTATGCACAATTGACAAGCTTACAGCTATTTTCATAAATGGAATCTTCTTAATTTCATCCTACCGCTATAAATAATCTATCTCACCGGAAATTATATCGCAGTCTCCGGGCAAAGGTTTCGAAGATAGCGACGTAGTTTCCAAAGAATTTGATCGATCGTTCTTAAGAAGAAACTGAATATATCTCAGGATACAAGCAAATTTTTAGTTTGTCGCAGAATTTATGAGCACATCTGTAGCATTTTTCGACCATATAGAATTTATTTGAAGGAAAGGAAAATTTGTTCGGATTAACATGTTATTAAATTATATATGAGCAGTTGTCTAAATGGATCAACAGCCGCTCATACGTGAATATACTTGGTCGAAAATTAACTATTCGGTGTGTTCTCACCTTTTTTTGCAAATAACGAGTCTGATAGTATCATAATTTTAAGGTGAGAATATCATTCACTATATAAAGTACGTACGTACGTGCGTACGCACGCACGTTTCGAACACCAAATGCCAAGGAATAAGATAGATTTTCCTTCACGTGATGACGAAATTAATTAGTCATCGTAACGATAAGAAAGATGTCAAATAAGCATGTTTTCTAGTCCGAAGCATGGCCGAGGAATCTGCGCCCCGAACCCTATCTATCATGCATTCAATAATAATAAACGTCGATCGTGTCAATAAGTGGTAGGCGTACATATAAAAGATTTCCCATTGGTAAAATGCTTGTATCACAAAAACATTTTTGTGTCTAACAATAATAAAATAAGTTTTCCAAAAACTAACAAATTTTTTCCTCACGTCTTCTTTTCTTTCTAAAGAGATGTTTATAATGGTATCGATGATATCAATAGATCGATTAGTAGCGTTATTTTAAATTTTTATCAATGCTAATATTTGGTCTATAACGCATATACAATAAATAATAAAATTAACATAATTATTCAGTTTCAATTTTTGAAAAATTTGACCAATTCTTTAAATTACCTCTAACAAAAAATAAATAATAAAAATGGGTGTTGTTCTTAAAAAACCCTCGTCATCTGATTCCGTTCTCACATCAACACCCTCAACAACATCACCCACTTTTAGGCAATCCATAAATTCTTTTTTGAGTCTTGACTATGATTTCTGTCGTCGCACTTACTGGCTATGTTCCGAATGCGGAAATCCGAGAACTGGTTATAGTTGGTGTCAAGCTTGCGAATCCAACCGTT